GAACATCGTCGCGTTACCCACTTAGCTACTAAACCCTGTACAGCCCAGAACATAAATACATCTGAGCAAGAGGATTTGTGGAGATTGTAGTATGTTTAACAGTTGAACTCATCAGTCGATCTAAGCCAAACCACCATTGAAAACCTGCATACTACTGATGAGTTTCATACTGGGACGAAACGGCCTTCCAATGTTTTCAGGTTTGCAATGGCGGTCTAGCTGTTAAAAATACTGCAATCTCCATAAATCCTCATACTGATAATAATCACGTGCTCACCATTGAATAGCTTCAAGATGGATTTTCTGGAATTCTAGTGAGAAACTGTGACCAGTGCAGTTCAATCCGTGTCGGGTGTGAGATAGTTACTCACCTCAAATAATGGATGAAGGGTTGTGCAAGATCATGGATTGATTGAAGTTAAGCATTGATACCATTGGATCCCGCCTCAGTGGTCTAGAGGTTAAGCGTTTACGTGCGAGGTCGAAGGTCCCGAGTACGAGTCCCACGTGCTGAATTGTGGATGAGTACTGCCGAGTCCCTTACTAGGACAAAACGGCCGTCCGGTGCCTTCAGGTTTTCAATGGTTTTCTAGCCTAAATCGACTAGTGAATTCAAATGTCAATATGTGGCATATGCTACTTACATTGACAAATATAAATGGTTGTAACACCAATCGGAAGTGGACTGCATGCCCTTAGAAGATTGGGAAGATCCAATCGAAGAAAACAGAAAGTAATTTTAAGAACAAGGAAAATTAAAGGGTTCTGAAGCATATAAAGGACAACTGATGGGAGGTGTGGAAATTATGTATTTTATGTGTGATTTTCATATTTTACCAAAGTACTCTGTAATTGTGCCTTAATAATTTGGCTCTCTCCCACTTGAGTCTTCGTTCACTACAAATATACATATGAATTAAAATTATTATTTTGGATCATCAAAATTAATATTTCTAGATGTATACATATGGAATACTATTTGGTGGATTATCGACTGGATAAGATTGTCACTTTTATTTGGAAATTCAAAAAAATTATTGTTAATTGTAGCCGGTTGTTGACTTCTGTTATTATAACTATTCAAGCGTCTGAAAGAGTGATGGACAAGTCGATATTAGATATTCTAAATGATGAATAAATCTGTCATATCAGTAGTAGCTAAAACGTTGTACTGTCCTACTTATTAATTATATAACTCAATACCATCATGATATTATCATCTATCGTTTTCCAAATACTTCAGTTCACATTAACTTATGGTGATCACAATACTCAGATAACGATTTGAATGTAAGACTTATCAAATAAAGTACCGTAGTGACCTACTTTTATCGAGAGAACGCGATCGGTATAATGGAAACATTTATTATTATAACCATTTGTACCAGTGATTGTTTTACTGTACTTGTTTGCTTAACTGTACAAAAAAAGATACATTCTTCCGTTGACTGTGATATTGTACGCCCTCGCGTATGCTCAGTAGTTCCACTTGTAATCTTTGGCACGATCTCTGTATGCTTTCGACACCACAAGATTGCCAATAAATATATCTTACTGCAACCGTCGACTGCCTTCTGGTTTTTGACCTACGAAGGGATCCAATGCAGTAACTGGCACGTAGTTTCAGTGTAATTATGATCATAGTCAACCGCGACTCAACGCCACGCTACAACTCTACAGTACTATGCAATGTTACACTATCTCAGAAGTAATAGATTTATTGCTAGATATATCTTAAAATGAATGTTACTAGGTCATATAGGATATCTAAAGAAAATGTCATCAGCTTACAATTAGTGATACTCAAGAAAACAGAAGTAACACGTAAGCCTAAGTTTAATGATAAAAATTATTTGTTACCAAAAGTTTAAAATAAGTGAATGATAAATTTTAAAAATAACTGGTGACAAGTAAAAGAATCATACATCAGGATTCTCAATCATTTTATCTTAATGTTTTCCAAACAAGTCCTAATAATGTTATGTTTATTGGAATTCCAGATCTATCAACAACATAAACTCAATATTATATGTTTAACATCTCAGATTATTACCAAGGCTACATAATTCTTGTATTCTTACCTGCAGAATATACTTTTAAAATTTATTAACTCTGATGTAAACTTAGTTTACATTTATTACATGGACACTTGAACATTATTAACTAAAGTTAACTAAATGAGAATCAGATTTAATGAAAAGAGCAAAGTAAATAGTGTCTTCCGATTTTTTCTTGTCTTGTATTTTGAGATCTCTTTATTTTTTTGTTTAGACTGTTAAGTAATAAAAAGAATATTTTAATTTTTGTACAGAATAAAGTATTTATGATATTCACTTGAAAAGGTTTCATGAGATTGGGTTGAAATTCGTAAGTTGCACTATTTATTGATTGATCTTAGTTTGAGTACTACTGAAAACCAAGTAACATTGGACAGTCATTGCATGATAACCACAATCTACATATTTATGATATTATTAATTGCCTATTAAGATGACTTTATGGTTATTTTGTGGAATTTAACGATAATTTTCACCAAATATTAATTTAAGCTGTTAAATTATTCAAACCAACTGCTCATTTGTGTGACTGCTGTCTAGATAGTTTTCGAAAAGTTAGAAAGCAGAGCTTTGATCTGTGTAACTATATCATGTTGTAAGGTTAGACTCAGTTACAAAGTTAAATTTTTTAAAGACTGCCCAACCATCTATTACAAAAAAAGATGAATAATGAGCAGTGAACATTAATCTCAGAGAATCAAGTGCATATGTTCATATGTGTTGAGCATATATAAATAAATTAAACTGGTAAATACAGGGAAAAATGAATAGTTATCTTACTTAAGTCAATAATGCCCCGCATCCCATTTCATTTTTAAAAAATTCTCTTTGTATTCACTTGAGCCCGTTGATAATTCCGCCCGTGGCTCTTCTAGAATTACTGTCAGTCCCAAGCCCGAGTAAAGAAGGAGGGTTGGGTATGGGATCAGCAAACCCAACCTGCAAAAAAAACAACCTTGCTACAAAAAAACGATAACCAGAAAAAAAACCATTTAAACTCTGCCCTACAAGTTTATGGATATTCATTTAGAAGAACTATCACACCTCATGATGAAAGCAGAGATTCTTTGGAAGTCACGAGAACAATGCCCCATCCAACGACCAGAGCAACAATTTTTATAAATACATGGGACGTCCGGACAATGTGGGAGACTGGGAGGACCAATCAAATAGCTACAAAATGAGGAAATACTACTTGGTGATTCTCGAAATAAGTGAGACTCATTGAATCCAAGTTGGACAGAAAATATTAGATTCGAGAGAGATTCTGTTCTATTCTGATCTTGAGGAATAAGATGCTCCACACACTCAGAGAGTTGCACTGATGCTGTCCAAAGAAGGAGGAAAAGCACTTATAGGATGGAAATCTCATGGATCCAGGATCATCAAAATGTTGCTGAACCGGATGAAAGACGCAGTAGACACCTAAATAAAAGATCAACAGACTGGATTCTGTAGGCATCGGTAGTGCGACAGACCAAAAAGCTACACTACGGATCATCGATGAACAATCATTTGAATGAAAATCGTCACTATACATCAACTTGATTGACTATGAGACGGCGTTTGACAGCGTGGATAAAAGAACATTATGGAGAATTCTTCGACACTATGGAGTTCCAGAGAAGATTATCAACATTATTCGTAACTGATAAGACAGAGGACAGCTGACAGATGCATTCTAAGTGAGGACCGGTGTCAGACGAGGCTGCTTACTCTCCCTCTCTCTCTTTCTTCTGGTGGTCGACTGGATTAGGAAGACAACCACATCTGACGGGAAGCACGGAATTCAGTGGACAGATTGGACGCAGCTAGATTATTCGGACTTCACAGATGACCTAACCGACCTCTTCTATCCCATACACACCAACAAATGCAGGTCAAGACAACCAGTGTAGCAGCAGTCTCTGCATCAGTAGGCCTCAAAATACACAATGGAAAACCAAAGATCCTCGAATACAACACAGATAACACCAACACAATCACACTTGATGGACAAGTTCTGTAATAGATGGAAACTTTCACCTATCTGGGTAGCATCATCGATGGGAAAGGAGGATTCAAAGCAGATGTAAAGATAAGGATTAACAAAGTAAAGGTAGCATTCCTACAGTCGGACAACGTATAGAACCCAAATCAACTGTTAACCAATATCAAAGTGGGAATCTTCAATACGAACATCAAGACAGTTCTAATGTACAGAGCTGAGACTTGGAGAACTACTACGACAATCATCAACAAAGTACAGGTATTTATAAAGAGTTGTCTACGCAACAACCTACTGTGGAAGAGAACAAACCAGCTTCCAAATGAAGAGGAAATTAGGAAAAGACGTTGGAAGTGGATGGGACACACATTACGGTAATCACCAAACTGCATTACGAGCCAAGCTCTAACCTTGAATCCTGAATGGAAGGAAGATCAAGGAATACACCATCGGGAATTGGAAGCAGACATGAAAAGAATGAATAGCAACTGGGAAGGATTGCCCAGTACACAGTTCGATGAGGAATTATGGTGAGCTGCCTAATGTCCTCGACGAGGGTCAACATGCGTAAGCAAGTGCTATTTAGTGTGAAAACCAGTCCAATAAAGTCGAAAGCGAAGCAATATGTCACTGGTGATACTGAATGGAAATTGTGATATAATACAAATTGATTGAGGTTCGAAAGTAAACTAAAGGATTCCAACATATTAGTTTAAACATTTCGTACCAACTATATAGGCTATGCGGAAAAGACCAAGACTACATGGGAACCCTGTTGCCAAAATTAGAATAATTATATCTAAAACTTACCTAGGTGAGCCTGTTTAGGCAAATAATCTATTTACAATAGCCCACCCAAACCTGGTCACGTGAACTTCAGACACCATATAACCTGTCCGACTTTGCTTGACATATATATACCTCAGTTATCCTCGGCCTAACCTGAATGAGTACAAATGTCTTTAGTGTTAAGTAATTTGGAAACTAGTACATTAAACATTCAGCAAAATGGTATACCTCTACAATCACTGATACTTTCAAGAATAACTGTAAGTAGACTGGCGAATATATGAAGGTGAAATTTCACTTTTATATCATTACATTGTGTAGTGTAACATTCTGGAAACAACATGTTTAATCAAAATCCTGTTGTAAAGACATGTTAACACCAAAACAAAGCAGGTTTTTCTTGTAATTATGATGGAATTAAACTCAGTTACTGTTTTATCCAAGCCTGGGTACATAAGCAATAAAGTAATGTTATCCTCCTATTGGTAGTGGTAAGAATGTACTTTTATACGTCCACTGAATAAAATAAGGACTGTCTCACTTGTTTATATCCGGCCTAGTCTTCATAAGACTAGCCAGACATGAAATGTAAGCACGTAATTTAATATGACCTACAACCCTAGATTAAGGTGACTCGATAGGTTGACCTAATTATAGACAAACATTCTATCTTGCAGGTTGGCTGATTCACGAAACGGTAACCTTGATTTGTACATTTTTATGATTGGCTGCTTAGATCAAAGCAAAACAATTGGAGAAGACAGATCAGAAATGACTCTCAGTCCACATGTAACTCACTTATCAGGCGTTTGTAAGCGTTCTCTAAAAGGATATTTAGAGGAAAATCACCTTGGAGTATTTGACTGGGGTAAGTCTATGAGATCCTCTTTTTCGGAAACTTAATAGACCATTTGAAATAGGTTTTAGTCTTTGGATTTATTTTGGTATCATTCTTGTATAGATTCTAACGAATCATATTGGCAATACCAAGATTAAAAGGGTGGATTTTCAATTTAAATATGTAGACTAGTAGCATAGTAAATCGTTCTGACTAGCGTCATTACATATTGATAGTTTCAGTAGAATGTTTATCCTACATGTTCCTGGCGAAGTTCTTTTAGAGATGTTGAAATGATCATTTAAATATTTTTACGATCGCCTATCTCTAATGGAACCTGGACTGGCGTTGGAAAATCTGCCCTCTTAAAAAATAAGTCAGAAAGTCAAAATTACGTGGACATTCAAGATTCGGGCCATAAGTTCTGACCATAATTCCAACATTAAATACTAAACTACTATAACTCGAATTTGTAATAGAATGAAATAAGTGTTTTCTTCAACTTCTGAACTGTACAAAGCTAACCCATCACAAATTATAACTTATGATGCCTGAAAATGCACCTTCGGCTCTCTCTCTTTTAAGACAATAACAGAATCCAGTACAATTTACTAGTTCTAACAAAATCTTGGTAATTACAAACCAATTCTTCGTTGGTTTGAAGTACGCATCATTCATGTCTGAAAGAATTCAAGTCCTAAACCTGTGAAACAAAACTTATCAAAATAAAGTGCAGTCTATTTCCGTCTCAAGTGTCTCGGTTTACAGAAATCAGATTAGTTTCTCTGACTCATTTATACCGTATAGATATCTCCGGAAAGTCCACATTATCATCGAACTCAAACCAGGAATCCATTGATTAGATGCTGGTTCTCCCAATCGTGCTACGAAATTTGGTTTCGGAACGGATCTCAAGTTCGCCTGAGTCACCCAGCACATCACATACTTGTCCTGTGAATGGAAGAAAACTAATATATTGAAATACAAATAAATGTATTTGATTCACATGGCATCTGAACGAAATACTTGTGGATTGAAAAGAAACTTAAACCTTCTGGTAGTTGTATATCAAAGTGTAGATGTTGAGGAAAATGACCAGTTGTTTAAATCCATTCACTGTTTGGGCACCTATTCATTGTTGAGGATTCTTTTGTAAATGTTCATGTGCTAATCAAGGTCACTTCAGACAAAAATAATAGGCCACATTTATTTTACCTGTGTAATATTGAGGTTCATTATTACATGTCATGGGTGTAATGCTCTGGTATTTGCAGGGTCCAAGATTACATTTTTCAATCTATCTTAGGGAATCAGATAAATTCTGATTGACATACAAGACTTTATGGGATGAACCGAACGACCCACTAAGTTGCAGACTACGTACTAAGTTGGCCTGCTTTTACCTTGTACTTATACTTACGCCTGTTACTCCTCATAGAGGAGCATAGGCCGCCCACTAGCATTCTCCATCGGACTCTATTGGGCAATCCTCCCCAGTGGTTATTCACCCTTTTAATATCTGCTGTGCCTGTAGGTCTAGGGTTACTGCCAGTTCCAAGTCCGTGTAAAGGAGGGTTGGGCATAGGATCAGCAACCTCACTCCGTAGAAAATAACCTTGTTAAAAAAACGTTGACTTCCTACTTATGGTACCAACAAAAGAAAATTCATATTGAGTTTCGGAGGACTTTGCGTCAGAATGATTTTGATAGACAAACTTTTAGAATGATCCATGAGCATAAGCATCCTAGTAATAATCCATAATTGAGGTCATGGTGACCTATTATTGATCGACTCATGATTCCGATAGAAACTTGACAGTTTCCACAACCCTACTGATGACAATCAGTTAGGTTAAAACCACCCGATTTCTATGTACTAGCACAAGTAGTTCGTCATATCTTGTGGTCATTTTTTGTTTCAAATCCTCTGAATACTTGCCCTGAAATTCAGCTTGGATTGTTTCATAACCTGTGGATTACAAATAAAGTAATGACAACTGGGTTTCAACTCAGTTGCCCTTTGAAAAGAATGTGTTCGCCATAAATCAAACAAGGCACTTGTTCAACTATGGGACAACTTAAAGTGTGAACTACAGAAAACTTTCAAACGATACTGACATATCCGCGAATGCCATTTTATTTCTATACTTCATCTGATGGTCCTGATCTGCGTTAAAAAGTATGTTCAAATCTATGTTAATTGTAAAATGGCTATCAAATTAATTTTACACTGGGAATCATAGTTTTGTAGAGACGTCTATATCTACTTATGTACGAAGAATGCCATGTTACTATTAATTGTACTTACTAAAAAGTCTCGAGTCAGAATATCCGATTGCATAAAAAGTGCAGGTCCGGTCGACAAAAAACATCTATAGCATGAAAACGCTTAACACTGGTATTTCCCCTACAGCCGAAGTCTGGTTTGCAGATAGGCCAATCATGTTGCAAGCTTGACGAATTTCAGCTCGTATGTTAGTGGACGATAGGACTTGATTGGTTTATTTAAATAGACAGATAAAGCCTAATGTTTCACGATTGTGATACAAACAGCCAACATTAGAAATATTGATCTTCCGGATTTTCGCGCACCACCATGACCTGTCTATCATACCATTCATGACAAGTAGGACGCCTATACCGGATACAATTTTTTTTAATTTTTGTCCCTAAATCAACATCATCACTGTTGACATTACAACTCCGTTGCATTTATGTGTCTTATTATTGATTGGCCGCTAGGATGTACTAATTTTTGTTACCATGTAACTTAGTTTATTTTGCAAGCAAAACTTGTGAAACTAAACATGTTTGTCAAGGTAGTAATACAACGGAAAATAGTAAAGAAAGCAAATACAATATTTATAGAGGTTAGCACTGGGATTACATCTCAGACCTACAGGAGGCTCGTCGCGGCCCTGGTAGCGCAGTGGTAACATCTCTAACTATGAAGCTGGGTGACACGGGATCGAGTCCGTCAGGGAGCACCAGTTCCCTCAAGCTTACAGGTTCACCTTGCTGACGAGTGCCAAGTAACATGAAACCCGGGAGGGAAATATGATTGATTAATTAACATCATGATATAGGTTTCTCTCGTCCTTGTTTTTACGGATAAACTTGAATTTATAAATTGCGACACTGAGTGACTTCAAATAAACACTCATTTAAAACCAGGAAGCACTGAACAACTGTTCCTTCCTATTATTCGACTTCTCAACAGTGCGCATTCATGACCCGAACACAGATTGAACCTAGGACTTTGGGTTTTGAGTATCTGAACAACTGGATGAGAAATCCTATATGATAGTCATCTTAAAAGTATAGGAATGGAAGTGTTTTTGATATGATATTGTTTTCTTCGTCTTCAGCTCCGTACTACTAATGCACAAACCCATTAACTATCAAGTATCAATTGCACAGAGGCTTTTGTTGTTGATCTAATATCGTATTCTCTATTCATCTCTCTCCCTGCCTTTTTCTCTGGTTTTTCCAATCCTTTGCTTCTCTTCTGTTGGTTCCCTTGTGTCAAGTGTGTCGAGTTGTGTATTTCGTGATTGTGTTGAGATTGGTACACTGAATAAAAGAAAATGGTTCAATTTCCGTTAAACATTAATGACTGGTCACCTTAGTATTCTAAATATTATTAAAAGACAGGAATGCAAGATCTAATACATCTCTACGACAGTGAATATATGGACGTCGTAGTTCTCTTGTAAATATTTGTTCATAATGACACTACAAAATCAGCCGTCTGAGATGGGGACATAATGAGTCTTATTACAGGAATAACAGATATTATACTTCAGTGATTAAATCTCTTGATAAATTAATTCGGCTAAATCACTTTCTGAAGTTAACAGTGTACCAATTTCACTTGATTCTTAAGTTGTTTATATTGATAAAGTTAACTATTAAATTCTTGTCTGCCTTACAATACCTAATACTATAGACTTATCTAAACATTCCTTGCTACTCAATAGACTGTAGATTCTGATTAATTTACTTCATTCATTAATTAGCTCATTATTTGTAGGTTTGCTGTGCAGTATTTAATTCAAATGTACTTTGAAGATTATGTTTTCGTTATGCTACTTACACGATCGTAATACAGTTTAATTTATAGCGACCAACTAATCAAAAAGTGTGCCACGACGATCAAGACTGAGACATAAAACTATTTTCAGAAAGAATTTAGATATTTTATAGCGATGGAGATTCAATTTTATAGTATGACTTATTTTACCAATCAGAATGAACTGGGAAAACATCACACCATTTCTCTTATTCGAGCGATTGTGTTACAATGAAATATCGTTTTATAACAGGTGGTAAGTAGGATTAGTGGCCAAATCAATAGAGACAATATGATCTCATGTTAGCATCTTACTGAATATCACTGCGTTTCCAAAACTATTCACTACTTCTTAATGTTCAATGATAATTGAATTTACATGAATTTCTTCAAATAGTACACTTGTAACTAGATATCAACTACTCAGCTTATAAACACTAGTAAAAAAGAACCGATAAGATTAAGAAACCATAGAAACATTACTATGTAATGACACCAAAAGAAGAGGATTATATGTAATTAAGGCAGTAGAATACGTAGGTTTTTTGACAAGATCATAAGAAATTTAAAACAATTAGTCCCTTTGATAAATTTCGATAATGCAATGAGAAGACCCCCTTTATGTGTTCAAAAACAATTTGTGCTTACACTTAGCCTATCCTGGTAGTACTGATTTACTATCCAGAGTGGTAATCACATTTGTTTTTGTGTACTTTGATATTTTTCCTTTGTTATGACTTACCCTTAACCTGTCTAGTTGACCTTGTAATTTTCAGATAAAAATGTCTTAACAAGGGTTGACATTAAGTAACCGGCCAATATGACTCCCTACTGCCCATTTTAAAAAAATTGTGGGGTGTGAATGAAAAATTTAGGTATCGTTGATTGGTGGACTTGTTTTGCAAGTGTGTGCTCAAGTGATAATGAACAAACATTTTGTCACCTTTAATCATTTTGTAATTGGTCGTAAACTGTTCATCTTTGTGATCTGATTAGCTGAAATTGAAATCATATCTGGAGCTGTGATTGGATGTCCGGATTTTCATTTTTTACATTTGAAATTTAATGATAATGAATAAATCTTTTTGTGTAATCTTAGTCTTAAAAAAACTTAGACTTTTGAAGAAAAAGACACCAACTGAATTGCATTACCGTGCAATTCTACTGTTAGTGAATGTGTATTGGGATAAATTTTTGCTTTTCGATCAAGTATACCTTGAATTGAAGTCGTTAGTTATCTTAACACAAATAATTATATGTATCTCAGTAAAAGAAAGTTTTTGGGAATTAGGTCGGTAGTCTAATGTTGAATACCCAATTAATAAACAAACTATCACGAAAGTGTGTGCATAGGTTTTTTTATAGCACATGGTCTGTTATTCGGAGAAATAAATCAACATATCAATAAATAATCATGATAAATTACTGGTTGCAATATGTATAATTCAGGTTAAGCAACCGAAGACCATAATTTAATGAACTGACTTTGACAGTACATGAAAGTAGTAATAAATTTTCCGAAATAGGCACTTAATATTGAGTGAACGTGTATTTTGTAAATGTTCATTCTTAATGAGAATTAGCAAACGTTAGATTTCAATGCGGTTAATTTTAAAAGTCCATTGAAACGGTTCATTATTTTCACTTGTAAATTATTTGCAGTTCTGTATTTTAAAATTAATTTTTTGGTCGTAATAAAAACTAGTGTGTGTTTAATCAGTCAAGTGTGAATATTGTTCACCGCCGTAATATGAAACCTGAATTATCTAGACATAACGAATGTAACCATTTTTGACAAGCATTTGAAATATCAGTTTCATGAAGTGTAAATGAACAAGCCTACGTCGTCTGACTGACTGAACAAATATCTATCGACTTTAAACGTATAAATATGAATAAGGTCAACTGTATCAATGAACATTTAAAATATTATTATTTATTGTGCTTATGATCATTATTATTATTATTATTATTATTATTATTATTATTATCATTATTATGTCAATTGACAAGATTCAATTCTCTTATTATGTATTTCATTGACACAAAATTTTTTGTATTTTCAATTTTCCTATAATGCTCTTCCACTTATTGTGACTGAACACTTTACTGCAAATAATCCCGACCTTTATTGAATGACCTTTCTAATTTGCAAATATTACAATTTGTAAGTATAAATATAAATATATATATGGTAACAGATGTAAACGTTCACCATTGTTGACACATTACATTGTCTAATTCATTAATGTCATGCCTTATTTTTGGACTTTATAAAATATAAAAATTATGGGCTTATAACTGTATAGTGTGATGATAAAGTTAATGAAAACGATTGTTCGCTACATTATTTTTTATTTTTGAATATTCTATAAGAATAGTTATATAGCTGTGCAAATGAATACGTTGATATAATCGGTAGTTATGAATAACAATGAAGGCGCAGTTGACGATCAGACGTACTTCTTACGTACGCATAGTTCTGGTTTCAGGAACTTTTAATATAAAACAAGAATATGAAATTCTTGTTTTTTGTATTCATGAAACAGCTAATATTCTTATTTCTTTTTACACTTACTATATGACCTTTAATCACATGAATCATTTCAACGATGATGGTTTCAGCTTAATTTATGTCATTATTTTATTCATAAATAAGTTAATTTTCTTCATTGTGTTTACTTCTCTATGAGCTTGAATCACATTCATCTTCGTAATGATAATCACTAATAAATGTTCTCATAAACTTATTGACCTAACGAGCAAATTATAGTTTTCACTATATTGCAATAATCATATTAAAATGTACTCAAAATGTACTTTTATTAGATAGTTTACAAAAGTGTTACTAAAACATGAACAGTATTCACAATATTTTAAATATAAAATTACTAGATTAGTCTTCATTAGATGACAAAATCTTGTTTAAGTTTTCTTAACCTTTATATCTAATATACATTAGAAACAAGTTTACGAATAGACGAGCGATAATCGCTTTTCGATTATTAATCTCTAAGGGATATCTAAATTCATGAGACATTAATAAGTGCTTAATCACTTGACCTTTGCCGCGGAAAAGTAGTAGATAAAAAATAATGGAAATCAAATTGTGGGTGGCCCTGAAAAGGGCCTTTACTCGTTCTCGCTGTCGGACGTCGTCACTATTAGTTTGTAATGGCGCCGCAGATAGGACAGTGCACTGCTCGTACACTCGGCGATGGGTCGTAGGCACAGAAGGTATGAAACATTGCTTCACATCTACAGAAAACCCAAGCAACCGCATCACCGGTTTCACACGGAGGCTGCGCAAGATTACAGATGTCGCAGAGTCGATTCTCGTCATCCTCTTCTTCATTTTCGATGTCCCGTTCAGTTAACTCTTCGGAGTTAATAGAAATTACTTCCTCCTCATCGTTACTGAGCGTTTCATCCAAATCAACAGTTCCTCGTTGTATAAACGGCACTGCTACGTTAGTCGAGGTTCTTGAAAGGGTGTACGAATGCTGTTCTCCATGCAAGTTTACTGGCGTTGTTGGTAGTCTACCGTGAACTATGAAGTCATGAAGTGAACTGCATTGTTCCTCCGACATTCGCCTGATTAACGCTATCACTGCATTCTTCATGCTTGGCTGACTCAATTGCACTGGGAAATAATTTTCAACTGCAATATGAGTCAGATAACCATCATAGTGTAACCACCTGTCACAAATTGACTGTACGTTCACATCGGTGTTACTGTGTGTGCAGTAAGCCAATATGTGACGGCATGGTAATCCGTTTTCAATGAAGAATGGACACGAGCACCGGCTAGTATCGACGTGTACGTAGTACGTCCCCGTGGCGTCCATAGCGGTGAATAAATCTTCCGTCAATGCATACTGCGTAATAGGAATGCGAAGGTGTCGCTTCAGTAGTTGACAGGCAACTGGTGTCAGTCGTTCCTGAAGTCGACGTACTTCCGGCTCCTCACCAATATCGACTTTCCCCCGACAATCCATTGAATATTTATGTAATCTTGCTTCCATCCAATATCCAGTACGAAGCAGCACATTGAAAATGGATCTGAGAACCGGTGTTTTTCGATTAAGGTGATACATCTTCAAGACTCGGTGACTGGTCTCGACGAAGTTCGTATTGTTCAGGTCAAAGAGAGTGGATGGCGGTCGAAAAGCAGTGGACCATTTGTGTTTCCGTGGTAGAAGGTGGTCTCTGACGTATCTGCCAAACGTTCCGTCCGACATTTCGATTAACGAAAGTACGTTGTTAAAACTACAAAATCATGTTAGGTAGATTTTGATTTACCTTTCAACCGTTCGAGTGAACATGAGGCGAAAGAACAGTTGTACAATTTCTGATCGCACCCTCTACAAAAACGGTGACTGGGTTAATGTTAATGAACGAAACACTTACCCTCTTTATCACATTCCGAACAAGGTGTACGCGACACAGAATATGGTGTGCATCCGGATACACCTGCGTAATAGCAGCAGCAATTGCAGGTGAATCATCGGTCACAATGCCTACCAGTTGTCGACTGTTGGTACACCGTTGGAAAAAACGCAGGAAGGCAGAAATAAATGTTGACGTTTCGCGACATAAAAAGCCAATGCACATGGGTATTGCCTTAAAATTCATATCCAGGGCAACGACTTGATATAAATGGACGTTCTCGTTATTCGTTTTGTACGTCCCGTCAAAACCAATTACGTCACAAAAGTGACCGGCCAAATTCACTTGCTCAGCAGTCATGAAGAAGAAATACGATAGACAGTTCTCATCGTCCAATTCGTATTCGCAAAGCCCACCCAAGGATGTTATGTGAGCTTTCAATTTCCCGTAATCACCTATAGTGTACATTATAAATTGGCAAATTCCGTACCAGGAAGGTTCGCGTGTGAGAACACTTTGTACCGCATATTGCAGACATCTTGAGCGGTCAGACATTTCCCATAGGATTGGTAAGCAAAATTCTTTATGTGGAATGCAGCGGTACCGGAAATCAGCAGCGGTCTCACAGTTTCAAACTCCCCATCCGTTAACCTGCGCACCCATGAATTACCCTGGTACCTCAGGGAATTGCACTCGTGATTGTGATGTACATTCCCACGTACAACAGTCCAATAGCCGTCTATAATCTTACAAAACATAAATGCTGGACATTGGGTGTTCATAGAAGCCCTTCGTTAAAAAAATTATAAAACAATTTACCAAATTACCTCCTCCGTCTAATACGTTGTGACGAACCGCTAGATCTTATACGCTCATTTCGCCAACATACAAATTTAATGTAGGATTTTTGATCTCTGCCAATATGCGAATCTCTCACTACATAATGACTGTAAGTCGATCTTTCAAAATTCGTGATAGTGGTCTTTAACGCCTCAACCGATGGAAACGCAACCAGAAACAAGGTAGTCAAAAAGACTTCCTCCATTTCCGTGACGTGAGAAACACCAGCGCTTGTACTAGGCACATCACTCTGCTCCATAATGACGATTGAAATTGTGCTTCGTCGACAAGTACGGATAATTTATAACAATTTTCAAGACATAACTAACCAATGAAATCTAATTTTTGAAACTAGCCATTTCATTGGACGAAACACGGGATGAAAAATATTGTAATTTGGGGATGGAAAATTTTTTTTTTAAAAAAAATGGCCGGTCGGACAATATTATTCCTTAACAAGTATATGTGTGATCAGATTGTTCGAAATGTATTACGCAAATATATCACATAATTCTGATAAACTACGTCTTCTCATTGCATTATCGAAAGATTATAAGAATTTTTTACTCCAGTAACATCTTCAATAAACCAGTATTTATTATTTTAGGAGATTCAGTCAACAATTAGTTTCTTTATCCATTTTTGAGTAATATGCAATATTATGTCTTGTAATACTCTTGGATTTCTCTCCATCCTCTACCCATCTGAATCAA